TGTTTGTTTGTAGCACATTTATTACATTTATTATTATTATTATTATTATTATTTTTATTCGAGTATAAATTTCAATATTCACGTCGTGAATGATAATGTTTACAAAAAAAAAAATTTTTTTTTTTTTACTTTTCATTATATATATAAAAAAAAAAAAAAATTATAATTTCGAAAAATTATCGTGAACTGCTAGAACTGGAACGAGAATATCGTCGTCTCCTCACTGGACTCCTCGATCGTGATCTCCTTCTGGGTGGAGAAAGTCTTCTTCCACGATTCATCATCGGTGAACGTCTTCGGAATCTGGAATCAAAATATAATCCAACTTTATTTAATACTTTTCAGGGAAGGGCAGGGGAAAGGGCGGGGAAATCAAACGTTTTATCATACCTCGGAGGAGTTCTTCTCCATCCTCTTAACGGTGGAGGACCTCTCATTAATGGCGGAGACGATCTTCGTATTGGTAACGGCCTCGGTTTTGGCAATAAAACGGGAGCTGCTGTTATTTCTTGTCCGTCGATTTGACCTGAAGGAACAAAACCACGTACTCGTATTGCTTTGCTTACACTTTTAGGTGATCTTTTAGGTTTCTCCGAGGCTCTACTCACCTCCGTCCATGTGTTTCATAGCATTTTCCGCTTCGTCCGCCGTTTCGTAGTCTATGTAAACGAAACCTCGATTGTGTTGGTGAAATCTGTCCATTTGAAAATCCACGGATCTTATCGAACCGTAGACGGAAAATATTTCTACGATGTGATCCCTGGTCACGTTTCTCGTCAAGTGACCGATGTGAATTCTCGTGGGTCTAGGCGTCACGTCTCTATCTTTTCTTTTCCTTTTCAACGACGGTGACCTTTAATACAGAAGGAATAAAAATAATTTTCATTGATCGTTGAAAAACTTAAATCTACTCCCCCCCCCCACACACACACACCTTGATTTCCCGCGATTTTTCCCTTTATCCTTATCCCGATCCTTGTCTTTATCCTTGTCCCGATCTTTATCCTTATCCTTATCCGATTTCCTTCTATCCTTTTCTTTTTCTTTATCTTTCGCTTCCTTATCGCGATCTTCTTTTTCTTTTTCCTTTGGTTTTTCTGGTTTTTTCTTTTCCGGACTCGTTCGACTCGGTTCCGCCGGCCTAGAAAAGTAAAAAAAAATTCCTTTTTTGATGACACGTCACGTCACGTCATTCGCAACACGATTCGATTTTTTCGCACTCGAAATAAATTCAAATAGATATTTAGTTCCATACTTTCTTTTCGTCCGAGCTTTCGCCGCTGAACTCACACTCGATGAACTACTACTGGATGATGATGAACTGGAACGTGAACTCGAACCCGAACTGCTTGATGAACTGCTTTGAGAATTACTGGAACTTCGAGAGCTGCTACCGGAGGAACTGGAAAAAATTATTATAAAAAAAAAAAAAATATTAAAAAATAATGCTGCCGCTGCCACCTGGATTCGTTTTCCATTAACCACCAATTCCATTCGACGAGGGGGGGGGGGGAAAACGTGATTTCGTTTTGACAAAATGTCCGACATTAAAATAACACAACATAACCAAAAAATGTAAAATTTTAAATATAAAAGTTTTTATTAGATTCCATCAGAAAAAAAAAAAAAATTTCTAGTATTTTTTTTTTTTTTTTTTTTTAAATTTATTATTACTTTTTTTTTTTTTTTTTTTTTTTTTTTTTTTTTTTACTACTTAAACTTTTCTTCATTTTCTTTCCCCGTCTCCATATATATATATTGGCCTAAAAAAAAAATTAATAATAATAACAATAAAAAATGGATATACAACTCATGGACCTTCCTCAAGTATGCATTGAAGAAATTTTTAGAAAATTAACGTATGCCGAAATATCGCACGTGAGCGCCACGTGTAAATTTTTCCGTGAAATCGCCAAAACGATATTTCGGTTGTATTTTAAAAAAATCGAAAACGTTATAGAAATTGAAATGGAAAAATTAGAAAACGAAGCTTGCAAAAGTGGAAACAATTTAACCATCGCCGATCATTTACATCTCGCACTTTTACATTCCGTACGTTTTCCATGACCCCCGACCCCCCTCTACCCTTCCTCCTTCTCCCCCTCCCCCTCGAAAAACTTGCAACGATTGCACCTTATCATCATTTATGATAGTAATCGTTCGTTCCAGGTTTTAAGAATCATATTGTCCGAAGCGAAAATGTTAAACGCACACTGTTGGAGATACATGAAAAATTCAAATTACGATTTTTGCTTTCCCGCCGGCATAATATTGGACGAATTCGAAAGGATACTACGTAAGGTCAGAGATAAAACATTGAAAAAAGACATGGAACCGGAAATAACGACGACATTGTTTCACTTGGGCGAAACTTTTTACGATCATTTCGATTTTAAAATCGAAAATAATTTTCATCAATCGTCCGAACTCCGTGTCAAAATAACATCCGAAACGAATCGGCAAACCTTTCTACCCAACCTTTGCAATTTCGTATCGAACATGACGAGAGAGAATTTACTCAAGGAAATACAAAAATATTTGAGAAAACCTCAGAGTCAAGATGATGGAGATGATGACAATTCGTCTTGTTCGAACGATAAAAATTTCGATAAAATCAATAATAATAATAATAATAATAATAATAAGAAAACAATGGGGAGTGATAAAAATCCCACGGGATTTTACGACGAAAACAACAACGGTAAGAAGTTGTAGTGGCCACTTTTTTTTTTTTTTCTCTCTCTCTCTCCCAAGGATGATGGGGTCTTAGTCTTGTAAAATGATTAAGATTAACTCGAAAGACAATTTTAACTTTTAAAATTTTAAATATTTTAGATATACAAACGGAAAAAACATTATTCGGAGTCAAAGTATTAGATATATTAAATTGCTGCGCTTCGAGTAATTTTCAAACTTTTATTTTTCGAAATTGTAACGCGGAAGGTTTTAAATTAAATACAGACTACGAAATGAGGGATATAAACGTTTTGGAGGCGTTGCCAACGGTAGGATTACCATTTTCAACATCTGAGGTAAAATAAAAAAAAATTTAAAATTATAATTAAAAATTTAAATAATTTAAACGAGTGAAATTCGATAAAGATAATAATTAAAAGTGACCGAATAAATGAATTTTAATAAATTTTTCTCTCTCTCTCTCTCTTTATCAGAAACAATTAAGTAAAATATGTAGGTATATAAGAAATAATGTCAGGTGGACAAATTTATTTCATCCCCTACAAGACCTTTGGAAACTAGAAGATGCCATAGATATCAATTCAAATATTGAAACAGCCTCAGCATTGCTCAGACATTGGAAATTTCAAAGATCATCTAGGTAATAATAAAAAAAAGGTTTAAACGATTATACACCTGGGGTTATGAATTGATTTTTTGGTAAAGGGAAAATTGGGGATTGTGTTTGTTTAATAGAAAATAAGTAATTATGTATTTATAGATCTCACATGGATGAGAGTGTTAATGAAATTTACGAATACAATTATCAAAAGATAATTAGTCGATTTAAAAATCGTTTTGGACTATTGGTATTGGCTTCATTGGAATGTCCGACTTTGTGCCACATCCCGTTGAAAATACAGAAAACATTAGAAGATGGTAATTTTAAAAGTGAAAAAATAATAAATGAAAAAAATTTAGGAACAAATATACCCCTCGAATGTTTTGATTATGGAAATTCAATACAAACAATAAATATAGAAAAATGGGAAGAAAAAATATCGACTTATAAATTTCATTTGGAATTAAAAATACAATACCCCTCTTTTTTAAGCGAAACAGTGAGAGAAGCTATATTAAAGGTAGATCAAATCGGTGAACAAACCACTTTTACAACTGATGGAGATGACATGAGAAAATCGGCAACCTATAGGGTAGATAATGAAAATTTTGATTACGAATTAAATCCATAAGTGAAATCAATCAATCAAATGTTGTTTCCTCTCAGTAATATTTAAAAATGTATATACAAAAAAAAATCAAAATTTTTCATGATATATAATTTCTTTTTTTTTTTTTTTTTTCTTTTTATAATAAATTTTTCTTTTACAAATCAAATTTGTAAAAAGAATTAGGGGGAAATTTTTAAAAGTAATGATTGGATGTTGTTAAAATCCAATCTAAAAACCGGCATTAGGAATGTGAATATGTGAAAACAATTACTAATATTTGCAAAGTACAAATATTTTCTTACCTTCCACTACTGCTTCCACTTCCACTTGAAGATGACGCCGACTTAGACCGCTTTTTTTTTTCTCTACCACGTTCTCTTTTATTTTCTTTGTCAGATACATCAGATCCGGCACTTTTTTGGCGTGGGTCACGGGCCCTGAGAATTATTTTAAAGATGATATATAATTAATCAAAATGAAAGAATACGTTATAGTGATTTAAAAATGAAAATAAAAGAAAATGGTTTAAAAATTCTTACATAATGATGGCCTGATTTACAGTTTCTACAAAAAAAAAAAAAAAACTATTATTTTATCTACTATACGTTAGGATACACAAAATGGTTGACAAATTGAAAGCATCTTTCGAGTTCGATAGTTTTCGAGAACCTACTTCGAGTTATCGAAAGTCATAGAGTAAGTAGTATAGCTTTTATATATAGTTGAAAATTATGTTCGTTAATTTGTCTTAATATTAAATGAAATTATTGTTTTATTTTTTTATTGTTTTGGTGTCGATTTTGAATGGTAAGTCATTTTATATTCAACCATTATTTTAACCGTTAATAATAATAATAATTTGTCGTTAAAACAAACGTAGACTTTAGCAGTATTTTAAAATCTAAAATTGATATTATTTATTCATATTTTAATTTCCTTCTTTTAAAAAATAATTTTAAATGTAATTTCCTTTTAATATCTTACTTTTACTAAATTTTTTTCTTTTTTTGTATAATTTAATCTGCATGGAACAAAAAAAAACGTGATAAGAGTTATTTCAACGTTAATAAATTAATTTTTTATTTATTTTTCTCACATAGTTTTTTAATTATTTACTCAATGCAACGAGTAAAATATTTAATAATGTATAGATTTAACTAATTAAATAAGTTTGTAAGTCACATTAATTAAATCAATCGCGAATTTTAATTTATTTTATTTTTTAGAAAAATTTAACCGCAATAAAAATTATTGAAAAAATAAAAAGGATTGCAAATTGTTAATTAGTTATAAATTTATCGTATAGATGGCAGGGCAAATAAAATATAAAAAAAAAAGGATCAATTTTATAGTTGGTTTGCAAGAAAACAAATTTTCATTAATTTTATTTATTTAAAAAAATTTTATTAAATATTTTTTGATGAGTTAAGAAATTTTTTTTTCGGGTCGAAAGGGGTGATGGTAATGGGGGGGAGGGGGGAGTCCGACAAACCCGAAACTTTCTCTCCTTTCTCTCTCTTTTAAATTAATAAAGACCTCAAAATCTTAATCAGTTAAGTAATTTACCAATTTATCCTTAAATCACTTTTGTAAAATAATAATAATAATAATAATAATATTAAAAAAAACAAATACAAAAATTATCTCGACCCCAAATAAAATATATTAATTAATTAATTAATATTAAAAAATTTTCTAGATTTTTCTATTTCTTTCTCACCAATCCGTAGAAAAAAAAAATTTTACTTTGAATTATTATTATTATTATTAAAACTATAATCGAATGAGTGGATTTGATACTACGTTTTATTATTATTATTATTATTATTATTATTATTATTATTGTTATGTAAAAAAACAATTTTTTCCAATCGTTTTTGTTTAAACAAATTATTTATTTAAAAAGAAAAAGTTAATTATACAGGTGACGTCAGTCTTACTAATTTACCATTCCTCGATTATTTATTTATTTATTTAAACAAATTAAATTATTAAATTTTTTTTAAACAATTCGATGATGCACATTCCCCTCAAGGGTAAATTAAGGAGAGGGAGGGAGGGGAGGAGAAAAATCAATTGTCGATCGGTGGAAGACATTTTGTTTTAAATACCATTTCCAAAGGTTTTTTCCGACGATGGAAAAAGCAAAAACAAAACCGTAGGCGGATGGAGGGAGGGGAGAGGGGTGGTAGTTTACCAAAAGGTAAGAAAATAAGGATATGAAAATACACAGAAAAGGAAAAAAACGGGAGGGAAAAGTCGAAATAATCGGAAAAGCGGAAAATTTTCGTTTTAAAAACAAAAAAAAAGAAAATTAAAAATTAAAAAAAATTTTCATACGTCGATAATTTATTAATATTATTATTATTATTAATTAATTAAATATACACAGGATTAATAAATAAGGCAATTCAAGGTTTGTAAAAAGGTTCGAAAGGTTCATTTTTTTTTTCGTTTTTTGTTTTTCGTTTTTATTACAAAAAGAATTTTTTTTTTTTTTTTCCAATTAAATAAATAAAATTATCATTATAATTATAATTATCATTATTTAAGGATGTTTTTCCTGTCGTAGTGACGTAATTACATATATCGTCAACATAAACTATCCTTTCTATCGATGCTCAATCCACCGGGACCCATCATGAAAAGATCTTCGTGATGCGTATTTTTGGAAAATCTTTTTGGCAGGGGTAAACCGACAGCGCTTGAACCCCCGAATGTTCCGCTTAAACCCAAACCGTAGCTGTCGCTGCTGTTGTGTATGTGATTAACGTGCAAATGATTATTTATTTGATTTTTTTTCTTTCTCGCATTTCTCTTGTGTTGTAAATATTTAACGCATATCGTTATCAATATCAATACGAATAAAATCGATATGGCACCCGCGACGATGAATATATACAATCCAGGCACATCGAATTGAAACGCGCAATTATTTTCATCTTCATCGTAACCGGATGGACAGTGACGGAAACCATCGCACCAAAGTGATGAACTTATGCATGCATTTATTTCCGGACACCTGAAACGGATTTCAACAAACAAACAAACAAACAATCGATTAAATCATCATGTTTTTACTTCCGGTTGTTTGCAATCGGTCGGTCCGTCGGTCAAACGAGAATATAAAAACGATTTATGACGTCATCATAGGATATTATTAGAAAATTTTCTTTTTATTATTTATTTAATTTTATTTTTTTCGCGGGGAGAGTGGGGAGGGGTGAGGAGAGGTGGGGAGGAGTAGAAAGCAACGATATTAAAATTAAAAATTTGTAAAGCAGAAGACGAAAAAAAAAAAAAAATTATTCTAGTGAAAAAAAAGAAAAAATCGATGTTTTTCCGCGTATGAATAAAAATTAGTTTTTCCGTTAAAAAAAAAATGATGATGATGATGATGATAAATAAAAATTCCAGAATTCCGGTTAAATTTATTATTATTATTATTATTATTTTGTTATGATTGAAAAATAAAAAAGAGGGAAAAATATTTTTTTTTTTTTTTTTCCAATCCTCCATGTTTTGTGTCGTCCTTGTCGTCGTCGTCGTTTTTTCGTTTTTTTCGTTTTTTTTTTTTCCGAAAACAAAAATTTATAGAAAAATTTTTTTTTTCTTCTTTTGTGCCTTTTTCTTTCCCCCTCCCCCTCTTTCCCCTTTTGAAAAAGAAAAAAATTTTCCGATTGTGATTTGATGTTGAATTCTTGAAAAGTTACTCGATATTGAAAAAAAAAAAAAAAAAAAAAATGAAAGAAAAATGAAAGAGAAAAAAGAGAGAGAGAGAGAGAGAGAGAGAGGGGGAGAGAGAAAAACCAACAAAAACATTTTTACGTCACTAATGGATTTTTTTTTTCTTAAGCTTTACCCCCTACCTCCTACTCCCTTCCCCTTTCGCCCCCGCCGAAAAAAAAAGTCACTAACAGCTACCGAAACGTTGTTTAAAAAAAATTTAATTATTATTATCATTATTATTATTATTATAAAATTAAAAAAAAGGGCGGGAAAAGGATGTAAAATTATTAATTACGTAATTAATAATAAAATTCGAAATCTTAAAATAATAATAATAATTTTTGTTTTTAAATAAGAAACTGATACTACTACTACCACGTTCTTTATCGGGGGGGGGGGTAATCTCGTTTTTAATAAAAAGGTCAACGAACTTTTATTTTAATTAAGTATCCTTTTTTTTTTTTTGTGGGGAGAGATTATACCGAAACAAGATTTCATCTTAGAAAAAAAAGATTGTTAAAGAAAGATGAAATGAAAAAAAATATATATATTTTTTTTTGTTTTAATTTCAATTGCAAAAGATTATATTTAACCCCTCCCCTACGTTCCATCCCCTTCCTCCCACCTCTTCCCTCTTATAAAAAAAATAAAATTTTGTGTTAAATAATAATAATAATAATAATAATTTTCGCACGGGGGGTTTTTTTTAAATTACGAAACGCGTAACTAATTCCTAAACATATTTAAAGATAGAAAACTTTTAATTAAAATAAAACAAAAAATTATATATATTTATAATAGAGATAAGAAAAATGGCGGCGGCGGCGGCGGAGATATTTGAGGAGGTGGGAACGGAAACGGAAGTGGAAAAGGCGGTGGTGGATTTTTTTTTTTTATCATACCCGTTCGCCCTCGAGGTAAAAAAACACGAAAAATCGTACAAGAGAATGTCAGATTATTTTCGAACGTTTTTTTTTTTTTTTTTAATTTTTAAATTCTCCACAGCTTTGTTGTTATCAGGTGGTAACCATTCGAAACTTTTGTATTCGTGTGTGCGTGCGTGTGCGTGCGTGCGTGCGTACGTTCGTCCATATTTATTTTTTTTTGTGTGTGTGTGTGTGTGTAGTTAAAAAAAAAAAAATGAAAATGAAAATACGTGAAAATTTTTTCAATCGGTGTAACTAACCACTTTCAAATCATCATCATCATCATTATTATTATTATTATTTTCGTGGGGGGGATTTTGGAAAAGTAAAAGTGGAAAGGAAGGGAGTAGGTAGAAGAGACAGAGGGGTGATAAAAGGGACCCGAATCAAAAATTCGAATTCATATGATAAGCCTTTCCCTCTCTCTCTTTCTCTCTCTTTCTCTTCCTCCCTCTCTCTCTCCCTTCTTTCCTCTCCCTCTCTCTCACTCTCTCTCTCATCTCTCTCTTTTTTTTTTCGGTTTTATTGACTTAAAAAATATTTTTGTAAAATATTTTAATTAAAAAAAAAAAAAAAAAAAAAAAACAAAAATTTGTTGCCATTTTTTTTTTTTCTCCAGCTTTTTGTTTGTTTTTTTTTTTTTCGATGTTTGTAACACTGCATTTACGACCCGTAATCGTAGAAGGGATAAAGGAAAAAAATTTTTTTTTTTCGTTTTTGTTAAAAAAAACGAGATGAAACGTTATAAATTACGTAACTTTTTGTCGTTACCTAAAATCTTCGTTTTGAAAAAAAAATTTTTTTTTCGTTTTTTCCCCCTCATATATAAAATAAATAATAGTAGTCACGTGATTTTTATCAATAAAACATAAATAAATAAAACCGACGGGAAAAAATGACAACAAGCAAACAAAAAAAAAAGAAAATGGCGTTGTTTTTACTCACATGTGAGAACAATCGTGCATGTTCAATGCGTTCGCGTATATGTTCGAAGATGCAACCGGACGTTTCGATACTTCCATCCATGATATGATATGATTACCAAATTCTTTTTGTAAAAATTCAATAATGAAACTTCTAGCATGAGGAGTTAGTAAAAAAGCAGAAGGATCTCCGCCATTGCCAACACCACCGCCGCCATTTTTCGACAACGACGTGTTCCAACCGTCGGAAAAAACTTCGATTTTATTCATTTCGTGTATGTTTAATCTATCGGCTGGACAAATAACTTTTGGATTTTTAGTATTAACACCAGAATATATGATTATCCTGTTTGTCGTGTGACAATTGTAGGGAGGTTTGTTTGTTTCCGTGGGTAATTCAAAACCGTACGTTTTTAAATAAATAAAATTGTTTGTTTTATCTTCGGGTTCTATTAGCCACGGGTAATTAACGCAATACGAATCGGGTACTTCTTTTTCAAAGTACCCGTTATCATCCGTCGAATCTATTATCATGCTTTCGATTTGTGGATGTTTTCTATTAATGTATGAAGAACTCGATAATTGTATTTCACCGCTCGGTTTTCTCAGTCTTCTATTCTCTTTTTTCGTCGGACATACTTTATCGTTTTCATCGTTTCTATCGAGTTCTTGATAAAATTCATATTCACCCTCGAAATAAAAATCATTATAATCCTGAGTTATGTTCATTAAAGTTATCGTAAAATTAACTTCGACTACGGATGACGTTAGACTTTCTATAGTCAATGATTCATCAATGTTCGAACAAAAACAATCCCGCGGGATTTGTATTTCCGGCCAGGGATATTCGGAAATTCTTAATTCCGCGACACCGTATTGTTGTTGTAACCTGTTACGATTGTTTTTTGTTCCCGGTTTTTTTTTCAAACACTGATATCGATTCGTTCTTTCGTCTATTTTCGACGAACACTCTCTCTCACCGAATTTGGCTTGTATCAACGTGAGTTTTATTTTTTCATTTTGATTCGATTCGAAACGTAAAACGCAACTTATGTTTTGTGTTCCTCCTCTACCGTAAAAGAAAATACTTTTCGGGGAATGAAATCTTCCGACGAGAGGAGAATATGACGAATTGAAAACGCGATCGCATAAATTTTCAGAATTTTTATTATCCGAACCTTCTTGTGTCACGTCGACAAATTCGTACCTTAATATAAAACTAAACGGAAACAATGCACTTCCCTGACGTAGGTGTTGTTCGATTGTCAGCTCGGAACCTGATGACACGTAACTTTCTGCTCTTGCACAGGGTCGTGTGAAACGTGTGGCATTGCTTAATAGTGCGTGATCGCATAGCCTCGGTACTTCGTCCCTGCAAAATTCTCCCAATAATGTTATGTTGTTCGTTTCCGTGTTGGTATCTACCCTTCCGTTCCAAACTCTTAGCCTTGTGTTACATTCCGTCGACAAATCGTAGGATATGAGTTCTGCATTCGATGCGTAATATTTAACGAATGAAATCCAAACGGTTTCTTGTCTTCTTCCTTGAAAATTATAACGGCAGGTCGTGTTTGGTGGTAGGGAATGTTTTGGATTTTCCAAAACTCCCCATTGGGATTCGAAACTCGTTATTAAAAATTCACATTGTGATGAATCTTGGACGTAACTGTTCGATCTAACGTTGACGTAAATCACCTGGAAAAAAAAAATTGATAATTAAAGTTTTCACTTTCTTTTACTATCACAACCGCGTGCCCGCCATTTTAAATTTAATTTTCCCGCGCCATTTTGTTTTTTAATCCATATTAAAAAAACCGAAATCGGGTGTTTTCTTTTTTTTTTTTTTAATGCTTTCGGCATTTCCGGTTTTTTATTAATAAAATCAACCAAATTCATAAAAAAAAAAATTCAAACAAATATTTCGGATATATTAAAAAAAAAAAATTAAAATAACCGCCGGCCATTTTTTTTTCTCCCCACCTCATTCTATTCGACATGAGTATTATAACATATTATTATTATTATTGGATAATACAAAAAAAAATTTAATAAAAAAATTGTTAATAAAATTAATAAAATATAAATAAAATAAAAAAATTTATTGTTTACTCGAACGGTTAAAAAAAAAAGAGAGAAAAGGAAAAAAATGGCAATAAGAGAAAAAAAAAAGTTTTTTTTTTTATTAAGATTTATTTAAATCCGCCCAAAATCCTCAGCTTTTGAACGTTCCCCCCCGTTTCTGTTGCTCCCCCTTTCCCTCCCCTTTTGTTATTTTATTTTTAAAAAATAAGAAAAAATTTTAGGTTAATTAAAAAGAATTTTTTTTTCGGACTTAAAATTTTTTTGTTCGGTTACATGGAATTTAACATTTTTCTCTCCGTCCCCCCAAAAAATTCTTGGTTGGAGTAGAGGGAAAAGAGGGGGGTATATTATTTTGTAATATAAAGTTAAAATGCATTCATCATAATAAAAATCACTTGTTACGAGTTTTTCCCACAATTTTTTTTTTTTTTAAATGTTGTTATACTTTGACTAAAACCTTAAAAAAGGAAATAAATATAGGTTTTGTGGGGGGTGGGGGTGGGATTGGGGGTTAAAAACTTTTCACCGCAATTGTTTTATTTACGACATAAACGTTTTAAACGTAACTTTTATTTATTTTGATAACAAGAGAAGACGAATCGATACGTACGCATACGTTTGTTATCATATTTTCATCGATATATATTATTATTATTATTATTATTTCATATCATTCTTTAAAAATGTCTTCTGCTAGTTTTAGACAAAAAAAAAAAAAAAATAAAAATAAATAAATAAAAAACTTAAATTTTACATTTTCTTTCTTTCTCTTTTTCTACCTCCTACGTTTTTGCAATCAATTCAATTCTCTTGGGTTAAAGAAAATTGTTGTTGTTCGCCTCTTAAAGAATTATTTCAAACACACAAATATACGTGTTTGAAATTTTGAATGAATGTTTTTTTTAAAAGTTTTCTTTAGTTCCCCCTTTCCCTCCTCCCCCCCGATACACACGCACTCCTCCTTCGACACGGAATACATTCTAAAACCACGGTTACCTTGTCAACCTGACTGACTGACTAACTTTTTTCCTTTTTTTTTTTTTTTTTATAAAATCAAATCTGCATTTTATATTATATTTTTATTATTATTATTATTATTATTCGCAAGTTACATACGAAATTATTTTTATAAATTTATAACTAACGCAAACGTACGCACGCACGTACGCACGTACGAGAATAATAAATTTTAAAAAAAAAATTAAATTTAAAAATTTTTATTTATTTATTTATTTATTTTTTTTTCATATATTCTTAGTAAAACGGAAATTGAAAATTGATTTGCGGAAAAACGTGAAAAGTAGTTTGAATAAGTTTTTTTTTTGTAAAATTTGCCCTTAAAACAAAAAGGAAAAAAAAGGAAAAGGAAAAAAAGGAGGAAAAATCTCGTCGAATATGCACGACAACTTATCGAGCATCTGTTTTTTTTTTCCTTTTTTTCCTTTTTTGTATAATTTATTTCATAACTTTTGTTTGAAATTTTATTTATTTATTTATTTATATTTATTCTCTTCTTTTTTTTCCTGACTCTCCTTTATTATTATTATTATTATATCAAAAAAAAATAAAAACAAAAAAAAAAAGTTAAAAATAAATGACTGAAAGGTTTCGGGGGTTAACCGCGGGTAACTTCTTCTAACATGATAAGTGAAAATCAAGAAGAAATAATAATGAAAAAAAAAAACGAGGAAAAAAAGGAAAAAAGGAAAAAAAAACCTTTCCTTTTTTTCCTCCTTTTTTTTTTGAAAAACTCTTTTTTCGAAAGAAAGCAAAAAAAAAAAAAAAAAAACGAGGTTTGAATTTATAAAAAGAAAAACAAATCTATTAAAAATGTGTTAACACGTAGAGAGAGAAAGAGAAAGAGAAAGAGAAAGAGAGAGAGAGAGAGAAAGGAAAAAACAAATAAATTTTAAATTTTAAATTTTCCCGCGTAAAATTAATAAAAAAGAAAAAAAGGGTGGTTTTCTTTTTTTTTTTTTTTTTTAAATTAATCCGAAATGAAAATTTTTTTTTTATTTTTTTATTTTTTCGGTACGCGTTCAGAAACCATCAAAATTTATTTACAAAAAAAAAATTTTCCTCTTTCTCTCTCTCTTTCTCTCTCTCTCTCTCTCTCTCTCTCTCTCTCACACGCACTCATAATAATAAATAATATTTTTTAGATGTGCAATTTGCGTCTTTTACACTTGGCAAAATTTCATTCATTTTCTCTTATTGAAAAAAAAAAGAAAATTATTATTATTATTATTATTATTTTTTTTGTTCGTTTGCTAAGGAGGGAAAAAAAATAAGGGTGATGATGATAATAATAATATAACAATAATAATAATAATAATTTTCATAAAAAAATATAGTTGAAAAAAATAAATTTTAGTTTTTCATGGATTGCAGAAAAAAAAACAAAAACAAAAATTTGACCAGAACGAGTAAAAGAGAAAGAGAGAGAGAGAGAGGGGGGGGGAGAAATAGAAAGCACGACAGAGAAATTTCTAGAAAATAAAAAGAAAGAAACAAAAAATAAAAACGAATTTTTTCATTTGTTTTTTTTTTTTTTATTTCGTCGTGTCTCTAATGGGCGGTTTAAGTCCGCCAAAATTGGCTTACACTTTGAATCGTAAATTTAAAACGTTTGAATATTTAATAATTTAAGGAAAAACTTTTTTTTCTTTTTTTTTTTTTCTAGAAATATTTTTGTCCGTGGAAAAGGTAATTCTAAAAATTTAGCTATTAAGGTATATATCGCATCTGGGGACCCGAGTTTAAAAATAATTTATGTACCTGTATATTTATTAAAGGATTTTAAATTTTCTTTTTTTTTTCACATGTTTTACTACATAAAATAAAACAAAAACAAAAAAATAAAATCCTCGAGGGGAGGGAGGGGGGTTAAAATTTTATCTTACTTGTACTTCCAATTCGAAACCGGGTAAATAACTTAATGGTACCGGATGAAATGGATTATCGTAGGCCGATGTGTGAAATTCCAAAAGCATGTTAGGACCACTTGTTATTATGTCTGGTACCACGTCACCACCGCATAAACGTATCAATATAGGATCTACCGTGGATGCACCGTTATATACTGTTAAATAGTCTTGAATCACGTTACACTGGTCCCAAACTCTATAAAAAAAAAAAAATTATTAAAATGATTTTTTCTTTCCAGTTCTCCAGTTCACTTTTTTTTGGAAAAATTCAAACTTACTTTAGTACTCGTTGACTCCTATCGTATTTAACAATTTGATCTTTTATGTGTATTTTATGAGTGTTTTTCTGTCTGACGGATAGTAATGCATGTTTGTTGCGTGGTATTCCACGTTGTTCGATTCTGTAGTAACAAGTCACGTTACGTGGATAAACTCCTGGAAAATTAGGTGATTGTACGCGGCACTGACGCGTGTCGCATTTATCGAGTACTCTGTCGCAATATGTACCCGGTACTAAATCACCTCTCCATGGTTGTACGGTGCTGTTACCGTATCTTAAATGCGCTTCGCTTTTTTTTAAAAATTTATACGCTAATTTAAAATCGAAATTGTATCCTATACCCTGGAAAAAAAGAAAAAAAAACCGAAAATTTATTATTTCTATCCCCCACCACTACTACCACCGCATTTTAACCGCAAAAAGGTTTATTATTAGCAAATTATATGAGAGCGCGTACGTCGTAACGTTTGTCGTTTGTTTAGTTTTTTTTTTTTTTAACTCACCCCCACACATTCTCGTTTGTTTTTTTTTTTTTTTTGTTAACCGAACGTAGGGGTAAATTTATTTATTGTTAACGATAAAACCGCAAAAAAAAAAAAAAATTTATTTATTTATTTACCTGCTCGGATAATCGGTAAAGTTGTAACGTTAAATTTAAACTACGTGATTCGCTATAATATACGGTATATCCCCAAGCACTTCCGCACCATTGACCTCCTGTCGGAGGCCTATTTTCTTCTCTTATAGTCATGTGACCATCCGGACATCCGTCTGTCGTAAATGAGACAAATTTTCCAACAGTAAAAGTGTCGAAAGTTAACTGAAATAAATAAATAAAAATAATAAATATTTTTTATAACGTGAAAAACGAAGGATTTATTTATTTATTTAAAAAAAAAATTCAGGGGGTGGAGGGAGTTAAAGTTTCATAAGTTATGCGTGAAAGCACTTCCGGTTAAAAAAAATAAAATGGAGAGAGAAAAGAAAAAAGGTTTGGAAATAAAAAAAATTTTTTTTTTTTTTTTTTTAGTTTTTTAATTGGTTTAGAAGTTTCGAGAGAAAAAGTAAAATTAAAGATTCGAATGAATTAGAAATTACGTTAAAGTAAAAAAATTCGTTTTTTTTTTTTTGTTAGATTTTCCGATATCCCAAAGGTGTAGTAGTCCAAAAAGATAATTTCTTTTTTCCCCCCCTTCCCCTCCCCATTTTCTTCATTTTATTCTAGTTCGTTTTTTTTTTTTTTAAAGAAAACTTTTTAAAAGTGTGAAAACTTTGTGGTTTTCAATTTCCCCATTCCTTTCCAACGAAAAAAAAGAAAAGAAAAAAAGAAAATTTTTTTTTTAAATATTTCAATTTTTAATATTATTATTATTATCATCATCATCATAATTATTAAATTAAATACCCGAAAACGGGTTTTCATTACCATTTCCGTTTTTATCATACGATATTTGACGTAAAATAATCGACCAATCAGAATTAATTTTAAAAATTTTCTGATTGGTTGAAAAATTCATGAACGTACACCGAGTTTTTAAACAAAACCTTAACATAATCGTTTATTCAAACGCGAGTATTGGAATCGATCGGACGAAATAACGGGGAGCGTTTATTTATTTATTTATTTATTTATTATAAATAAATACTTTACTAAAGTTTAATTATTATTAATATTTAAAACTTTCTTTAATTATTTTTATATATTTTTACCTTTTTTTTTGTTGTTGGTTTTTTCGACTTTCGGATAATTTTTACATTCTGAGAGAGGATAAAAATTCAAATCGCCATTTTCTTTTTTTTTTTTTAATAATAATCCGTTGGTTAATAACATCCCGAAGGGGGAAAACGAATAACAATGTAAAAAACAATAAATTTTATTATTATTATTATTATAAAATTTGTTTTTTTTTTATAACAAATGATAATTCATTCGTTATGAATAATCAAATTTTTATGATTTATTATTACATTTATGAATTTTGTAAATTGAATGAATTTAAAAAAAAAAAAACGAAAAATTGTTTTTTTAATTTTAAAACGAATTCGATTAAATTTCTTTTAATATTTCGATTAAATAAAAAAAAAATTTTACAATTTTTAATCGCAAACTCGATGTAAATATCATTATTATTATTATTATTATTATTAATTAAAATTATTAACGTGATTTAATATTAATAAATATATTTTTATTTTTAGGTAACCGCCATATTGGTTTCTTCGTTATAAAAAATAAAATTGGAAATGAAAATCAAAAAATAATATGGAGAAGGAAGTCATAGAGAAAGTGAACGAGTTAGGAAAAAAAAGGTAAGAAAATAAATAAATAAATAAAATTGACGTGAATGGGTGGATTAGTGTGTGCGTATACGCACATTTGTGCGTGAATTTTCCGGAATTTGTTTAACAAAAAAAAAAAAAAAAAAAAAACAAATTTTCGTTCGATTTTTTTTTTTTTTTTAAATATCTTCAATCCTTTCGTTACTTTATTTTTCATTCATTTATTTATTTATTTATTTTTAAATAAGTTAAAAAAAAAAAAAAGTGGCAGAAGAAAAAAAAAAGGGTTAGGATTTAATAAATTTAAAAAAAAAAAAATAAATACTCTTTGATGATGAAAATTTTTCCTTTTTTTTGATGAAAACATTTTCAAAAACGTATAACGAAGAAGTCAATAACAAAAAAAAGAGAGAGAAAAAGGAAAAAAGGAAAAAAAGGAAAAGAGAAAAAAAGGCTGACAAGTGAATTTTTTGGTTGTGTGGTTGTCATTTCCTTTTCTTATTCACTCTACGGAAATTTATTTATAAATTAAAATTTGGTCGTTTGTCGTCGTGAATTTTTTTTTCCCTTCTTTTTCTCTTTCTTTTTCTCTGTCTTTTTCTCTCTCTTCATTTTACTTTCGTTTCATTTAAAAAAAAAAATAAAAAAAAAATGGCGGAATATATTCGTTTAACGATTTTATTATTATAAAAAAAAAAGAAAACTCATCGTCGTTACTAATTATTATTATTATTATTATTGTTTCGATCGATCGATTGTGATCGTAATTAAAAAAAAATTAATTAATTAATTAATTATCAAAAGAATCGTGGAGGGCAAAGGTGGGGGAAAAAAAAAAAATGGCGGGCTACGATGATGATGATTAAAAATCTATATAATTTATATTATTTTATACGTTTTTGTCGAACTAAAAAAAATTTTCCGCCATTTTTTTTTTTTTTTTATCCATCACACGACTATTATATGAAATTAATGGAAGCAACAAAAAAAAAAGGAAGAAAAAAGAAGAGAGAGAGAGAGAGAGAGAGAGAGAGAGAGATAGAAAAAAAAAAACTTCAATAAATATCAAAGCATCCTGTTATTAATTTAACATTATTACTATTATTATTATTATTTTGACCTTAATAATATCAATTATTTTTTTTTTCTGAAGGGCCTTAATATATATATATAGATATCGATTATTAGAGTCGTAAAAAAAAAAAAAAACTAATAAATTTTTGAACAAAAGGAAGAAAAACACGCGAGAGAGAGAGAGAGAGAGAGAGTGAGAGAGAAAGCGTAAATACGCCCGCGTAATTTTTGAACTATAGCAAAAAGGAAAGAAAAAAAGTGAAAAGATTGGCAAAAAGAAAAAGAAAATTTTCTTGAGCAAATAAACGTTCGAAAGAATAAAAAAAATTTTTTTTTGTTGACTTGGAAGAAAAATGGACAGAAAACCAGAACGTAAAAAAAAAACAAAAATAATTTTTCGGTCGATTTATTTAGATTCCATTGAGAGAGAGAGAGAGAGATTTGTTGACTTGTCACTTTGCATTATTACATTTTTTCCAACCGATTGTTTGCGTTAGAGGATTTGAAATATCAGAGAATGATAAAAAGCGTGCGTTTGTATATATAAAAAAAAAAAAAAACAAACGAGTGTGTTCGTGTATATGTGAAAAAAACAAACAAAAGGACAATCAACAACAATGATGGATTTGGTAGACGCGAATAAATCAGAGGTGAGTGAGCGAGAGAGGGGAAGGTGGCGGTGGTGGTGGTGGGGGAGGGGTTGGCTCTAACGTAATTTTGATTAATTATCATTTAAACGACGTAAAAAAATTATCACCCTTATCATTATTATTATTATTATTAATAAGGTCGGATATGAATTTTATATGAGTTGAAAAAAAAAAAGTTTTATTTTCATCCCCCGTTTCCTCCCTTCCTCTCTGCATCCCTTCCTCCCACCATTTTTTTTATTTTAAAGTGACGGTTTTTTCACACTTCGACCCTTTGTGCATTATCCTAAACGACGTCCGTCGGCGGGGGGGGGGTAGGAGGAGGAGGAGGAGGTTTCTCACTCGTTTCGCCGCCTTTTTTTCCTGTTTTTTTTAAACCGGAAACTTTAATTTTTTTTTTTTAAGTTCCTCTCTTTTTTGGCGCGAAAAAACAAAAGACGACCGTTAATTTTTTTCTTTTTTTAAATTGTGCTATAATTTTAGGAAAAATTGTTGATAAATTAAACGATTTTATAAAATTTTCTAAATCCACGTGTTATCACACGCGTATGTAAACAAAAATAATTACAATTTTCTACTGCCACGACTCAAAAATAAATAAATAAATAAATGTTTGTATACATATAAACGTAATTAAATTTTAATGTTTTTTTTTTAAAATTTCATTTTAAAAAAAATAGAGGAAAAAATTCGGTTTTTTTTTTCGAATAGAGAGAGAGAAAGAGAGTGAGAGTGAGTGAGAGAGAGAGATGAAAAACAAGATGGAAAAATTTGTAAGTAAAATTAGATTTGATTATAAATGAAATGATTAAGAGTAAATTAAACATGCACAAATGAAAATTTATAAGTCATAAATTACAACGATTGATTTGATTTCGTTTTTCTATCTCTCTCTCTCTCTCTTTCTCGGCATGTTTGTCTTTCACTCTATCTCTTTCTCTCTCTCTCTTTTATTTTCACGCTGTAGTTAACGTTGAATAAGAAAGAAAATATTTTACTCGTTCGTTAAATTAGAAAACCTTTTTTTTTTTTTTTTTTTTCTCTTCGTATTATTCGTTTTCAACAAACAAACAAACAAACAACTGTATTAAAAAAAAAAAAAAAAAAGTTTTTTTTTTTCCGTTTGGAAAAAATCCATCACGTTCGACATTTCTTTCGTTAAAAAAAAAAAGGAAACAAAGGAAAAATTTTTTTTTTCTTGTTTTCACCTGTACTAAATCTCCTAAATTTCCACCGGCGGCTGTAAAATTAAGATGGCACAAAAAAGGAAGACGATCTTCACGTGGTCTTCTTATTTCCAATTCATAAGTTCTACCAACTTCTCCAAAATATGTTTGATTGCAAGCTGAAAAGAGAAAGAGAGAGAGAGAGAGAGATAAAAAAATTATTTTTATTAGTACCAAAAAAGAAAAAGATAGAAAATCGTACGTTATCAGTTATCAGTTGTAAAAACAGGTAAATTTGTATTCCGTACGTGAATTTAAACAAATTCAAACATGAGAGAAAATTTTTTTTTTTTTTAAATATTATATTCTTAAAACGACTTTTTTTTTGTGTTCGTTCGTTTGTTTGTTTGTTTGTTTGTTCGCTTTTAACTACGAGATAAAAACACGTGATCAAAATAACGGTCAAAATCGTATTACAATCGTTTTTTTAAAATATATATATCGATAATAACGATAATTTTCACATTCAAATTTTCTTTTTTTTCTTTGTTTGTTTGTTTGTTTGTTGGCTCGTTCGTATA